CATCTTATTGCAGGATCCCTTCAAAATCCTAAAATGGAAAATTGATTTTGTATCACGTTATCTTATAGTAGCCTCCTTCATTATTAAATGACGTCATTTCTGACCTTCCTCTAATATGTTTGATGATAACTATATTCATAAATAGAATTTTATTATTATCATTTAATTAGATTTTACATATATCATAAATATCTGATTTTAGAGAATAGCTTATATTATATCTAAAGCTCTACATAAACTGACTTGGCTTAGTTTACTATCTTTATATTTTAGCTTAGCTTAGCTTATTGAGATCAATTAATAATCCAAGTTAAGCCAAGCTGGCTTATAAGCTAGTTTATTTAGTTTACTTTTTCAAAATAAAATTCTATTAAGAGAAATATTTTTCATTAGGAGAAATATTTCTGGAATAATTTTTTTTAAGAGAAATATTTTACAATAATTCTTTATAAGAAAAATATTTTTAGAATAATTTTCTTTAACAGAAAATATTTCTGAAATAATTTACTCTAAAAAAAATATTTTTGAACTGATTCATTTTAAAAGAAACATTTCTAAAATGATTTCTTTGAAAGAAATATTTTTGGAATGATTTTCTTTGAGAAATATTTCAGAATGATTTTTTTTAAAAAAATATTTTCAGAACGATTTTCTTTGAGCAAAATATTTCTAAAAGTATTTTTTCAAAAAAATCACTTTCAGAGCTATTTTTTTAAAAGAAATCATTTCCGTAGCTTTTCCTTTCAAAGAATTGCATATAAATATATTTTTTTGATAAAATCACTTATAGAATATTACCTTTAAAGAAAATTATTTTTAAAGACATTTTCTTTGAAGAAAATCACTTTTAGAAGCATATCTTTAAAGGAAAATATCTCTAAGGTGAATTTTTAAAGATTAATACTTTTAGAGATATTTTTTGAAGAAAAATATCTTTAAGGTTATTTTTCAAAGATAAACACTTCTAGAAGTAAATTTTTTTAAAGAAATTCAGCTCTAAATGTGTTTTTATAAGAAAATATTACTGTGTGTATTTTTATTCAAAGAAAATATTACCAGATGCGTTTTTCTTCAAAAAAATATCACTAATGCATTTTTTTTTAAAGAACTTATCTAAGATTATTAAACAAAATCTAGAGATTTTGCAAGTAAAATTTAACAAAATTATATTAAACCTTATTAAAAAATCTGCAAAATTTTAAAAAAGGTAAAATTATATTAAAGCTTATAAAAATGTGAAATTATATTAAAACTTTAGTAAAAATTTAGCAAATTTATAGTTTAAACATTTTGCTAAATCTAAAATGAGTTTAGACAAACAATTTTAAATTTATCACTGATATTGTTTTTCGTTAAAAAAATGCTATTAGAGCAGTTTTTTTCAAAGAAAAATACCTTTAGATTTATATTAAAAAAAATGCAAGCCAATAAACTGAGCTGCAATATGAGATAAGCTATAGTATAAGCTAGCTTATTTAGTTAACAACTCATTTAATAGTAGTTTAATCTAAGCTTAGATAAGTTAGCTTGTTTAGCTTGCAAATGGCTCAGCTTATGCAAAGCTCTATTAATAATATTAAAATAATAATTAAATTGTTTTTAATCTATTTAAATGTATTAGTAACTTATATAATACTTAGAAATATATTTAATATATCAAACTTTATATAATAAATTAGAATATATTGTAAATAATCATCAGCTTGACGTAAAAACATATATTATAAAAATATATATTAAATAAAATTTATATTTTTTAATATAAATACTAATAAAATAATTATATAATTTATTTAGTGTAATAAACTTATAATATACTATTAATAATTATTATAATTTGCATAATATACGAATTTATTTTATAAATTTTAAAGATTAAATATTATATATGTCTATTTATTATTTAATACTAATGAAATATTACTAATTTCTTATATCATTTATCTAAATAATGTAGATATATTTATTATTAAAATAGTATCTTATTTATTTTTTTAAACAAAAATTACAATTCAGTTAAACTTAACTAGAATAATTATTATGAAAAAGAATTAATGGAATTATTAACTATATATTTATATAATACATATAATGCAGATATATAAGAAAAATATGGCTAAAAATTTGATTTAATAAAACTTGTTAATTTATTAGAATTATTATTAAAATATCAATAATTATATTCAAGCAATATAATTAATGAAAAGTAAAAAAAATTTGAGGGAAAAAGAATCAAAAAACCTTAATATTATTTTATATTTATTTTTACAAATTCTTTTTTGATGTTTTACTTTTAAATAACATTTTCTTATATCTCTAAATATTAAAAAATTTGTAAAAATAATTTAATATATAAAAAAAGTAAAGTTTTGATATGTGATCATGCATATTATGAAGAATATTTCTAAGTATTAAGCTCAATTAAAATTAAATATTAATAAGAAAATAGGTAAACTAAAGAAACTGATAATTATAGATTAAAAATGAAACTGATTTTAAATTACAAATAAAAATTCTAGATATATTAATAATATTATATTATAATAAAAAATTTTTATTAATAATTAATATTTTTAAAGTTTTTAAATTAAACACACTTCATAAATTCACAATAAATATTATAAGATAATATTAATTTACCAAATATTTATTCTATTTATTATTTATTATAATAAAAATAAAATTTTTTAATTAATTAATAAATATTAACTATTACATAAAATTAAATTAATGAGTAGATTATTTATATTTTGTATATAAATCTTTTATTCTATTATTAATTGTATATGTCACATAATATATTTTTTAAAAATATTTATTTATACATAAGGTCTAGTTAAATTTATCTAATTTTTAATCATGCTATAAATATATAATATATAGTCTTTAGAGAAAGAATAGCAGTGTAATCTTTTACTATATAATTAACTTTTTTTGAAAGAACTTGTATAAATAATTACATAGTATTTTATATTTATTATTAGTCTAAATGCTATGAGTATTATTTGAAGTTTGCAATGTATATTTCAATATAAATAAAATTTTTGCGATTATAAAATAAGATCAAATTTGAATATTTGATAATTAAAATTAAGATTACATAAATTTTATTATGTTAATAAGCTTCATTCACTAATAAAAAAATGTTTAACTAAAAATTTTACAATAAAAATAATATTTTTTAACTAAAAAAGTAGAAAATAGAAAGTATGAAGTTAAATTAATATGAAAAAAGGCTAACTTCCTAATTTTTTTTAGTATTTTAACTTATATTTAAATTCAGATTGATAGAGAAGGATAATACCTTTTATATTTTAATTTTTTGAGTGTATAATTCCTTAATCAAAAGTATTTGAGAATAAAAAAAATTATTTATTAAAACTTTTATTATTCAAAAAGAACTTTTTGTTATTCTTTTCACTAGGAACTATATCAATATGTAGTATTACATTAAATACAAAATTATATTTTTGAATATGCAAAATTTTAAAACTTTATGTGTGTATATACATTCTGTACATTGAATTTTCATAATACTGTTTTATACCCTTTTTCACTTTTTTCACACTATTTTTATACTATTATATATGTAGAAATTACTTCTAATAATATTTAAATTACTGTAATTGATGAAATAGATTTTTTTTAATCACAAGATCTTTCATCTATTAAAAATAAAAGCTGAAATGTTTCTTATTACCAATCAATTCAGATTAGAGAGCTGAATATGACTTTAAAGATTAGGTAAAAAAGGGTAATTTACATAATACAATATAATAAGAAAATACTATAATCACTATAATAAATTTAATATAATTTAATATAATTAATATAATATAATTTATCTATTACTATTTAGACTATTACTTATGATCATATAAACTGAAAATGACTTTACAACATTATAAATATTTCCTGTAATTTGATTTTGAAGAGGTGCTTTAAACTTCTCAAAATATTATTCTTATCTTTAATTGCAAAAGAAATTAAGAATGATGAAAATGACGATTATTAGAATATGGAGTTTGTAAGTTGTGAATTAATAACTTTTATTGTATTATAATTTTATAATGATTTTATTTAATGAAAATAACAAGAATTTGAAACGTTTACTATGCTTCATTCTTTTCTTTATAAAATAAAAGGAAAATATCGAATGATAGTAACAACTTTTTGTTTTTTATTTTATATGAAATTTACAATACTATTGATATACAAGAATATTATTAATTACTCTATAATGCAAAATTCTATGGATAAATCTCATTGCTTTTCGATCACTTTTGATTTGTTCAGCCTTATAAAAATCATGTATAATTCTCTTCATTTGTAGTTCCATATGTTCACCAAAATGGATTATTATCGATTACTAGTTTTGTCTGTATGAAAATGCTATTTATTAAAATCTTAAGAATACCAACTAATTGTAATGATTGAACTATAAAAGAAGTTAAAGTTTGGTATGTTAAGATATTTCCGATCTTATAAATAATCGTTAACTTGATAATTTTTTTCGCGTTTTTTTAAATACTAGTAGCAATGGGATTTAATCACGTGTTAGATAAATCAAATCATGTGATTTTATTGGGAACTTTATGGTTTGATTTCCCCTGGACCGGGTTTTTATCTCCCAAAATAATCTTGCGCTTGTATGTGAAACGCTTATTATAACAGAAAGAAAAAAAAAAAAACATCGCTTAATAAAGTAGAGAACAGATGGATTTCATCTAATGATCCTTTATATCATTGATTTTTAGTACGCCAACTTTCACCATAATAAAGTGATTGCATATGCAATAAAATAAAAAAATATTATACAAATTAAAAAAAAAAAATAAAAATAAAAAAAAATAATACACTACATGAATATGAAAAACAAATTCTAAAGAGAATAAATGAATATAATAAAAGAACAGTTACTTTACAATTAATAATGTATAGCGATATAATGTTCAATATATAAATATTTTAATGAGATTATATGATATACATCAATAGTTTCAAACGGTGGAAATATTATTATGAAACCTTCTACCCCTATTAATAGGTTTTTCGTGTTTGATGGTATAAGATTTAACGGGATATTTTAAAGCGTTAAAAATACTTTTTTTTCCAAAGAAATTCTTGTGATCGGTTAAATATTTAAGAGCACGAATATTATTAACTTTAGCAGCAAAATCCAGTAAATATAACCCACGAAAGGAGGTTGAAGCAACATCACCACCTTTTTTTACCATTAATTCAATAATGTCCAATGGTAAATCCAAATAAACAGCGGCAAATAAAGAATTCGGGAAAGGAACTCCAGATAATGTCAGAGTGTGATCCGGCAGTGATAAATTTGGATTGGCACCATTAGATAAAAGTAATTTTATACAACCAAATAATTGAGATTTTTCTGAATCGTCTGTCGTCGTCCTCAAGAGATTTAAGCATTGATGAAGTGAAGTTGAACCATGTTTATCCGTTATATTCGGATTCGCATTATGATCCAGTAACGCGGATATGATACCGGGTTCTCTTCTTTTCCATATTGCTTCATGCAATGGAGTCCATCCAAATTCGTCTCTTGAATTAATACTAATATTATTTGAGCATAACCATTTTAATGCTATTCTAAAATGATTATGCCTTGGATATTTTGCTGATGCAAATCCAATATTCATTTCAAATAAATCGTCATTCCAAATTAATTTATGTATTGCCGTTTTCAATTTGATGTCTTTATCCCTTAAATTCCCACCATTATTCTTTAAAACTTCAAATGCTGATATTATTCTCTTTGCCGGAGAATACCTTGCTATCAATAATATTGGTGGTTGCTGACAATTATTTATTGAAATATTTTCAAACAATACGTCTTTTCCTTCATCATTTTTCTCACGTTGCATGTATACGTCATTTCCGTCTCCATATGATGTTCGACTCATGCGAGTATATCGAAAATTTAGGCTTCTTGACTTTTCATATCTCTTCTTCGTTAAGTCACTATCCGATAAAGACTAAATTTTTTTTTTTAAAAAAAAAAAAAGAAGATACGTTTGGTTAGGAAAACCACGAATTTTTTTTTTAAAAAAAAATCAGCCTTCAAATGTATAAAAAAACTTAATACGAACAGGTTTTGGTTGTGTGTACCCTGACAATTCATCTTTATCAATTACGACATAATCTCCGATATCATTTGCAGCATCTTTCAAATCTAAATAACAAATTTTACAAAAAAGAGATATATATTTTTGTCAAATGAATTAATAACTTAACCTTTACAAGGCAAATTACTCACCTATGGAGTCTAATGGGAGAGGAGGAATGGTCCTTGAGGATGTTGTAGGAGGTAAAGATGGTGAGATATTTAGTATATTTGGATGAGAGTGCCTCTTAATCAATCGTTTTCCATTTTTATTTGATAAATTTCCAATATTTTTCAAGGGAGTAGGTTCAAGCTTAAAGCGAACTTCTCCGGGTTTAATAAAGGAGGAATCTAATTGCATTTCGTTCAACCTATATAAAACTTCATGTATGGTAGGGCGTGAATTTGGATCACCATCCCAACAATGTCGATAAAGTTGTACATATTGAAGCGGAGCTCCTGGTATTATGGTTGATTCTCTTTCTCCGTTCATTATGATTCTTAATAATAGATGAAAATTTGATGCCGTTGATTCAAATGGAGGACGCCCACTTGACACTTCACACATTAACACACCCAAACTATAAATGTCCGATCTCTTGTCTCTTTGATAAAAAGTATCTTGTAAGAACAACGGTTCTAAAAACGGTATCATCTCATCGTGATATGGCGTCGTTGAATCATGCCATGTGTCCGAGAATCCCAAATCTGCTATCATCATTCTTCCATCATGAACCAGCACATTATTTGGGTGCTACAAACGCGATAAGGATATGATTGGTGACTTTTGATTATCGATTAACTTTAACTCTCAATCAAATTAGCTTACCAGATTCTTATGTGATATTCCTTCATTGTGTATGCATTGTAAACCTGTTGCTATTTCCTTGATAATTCGAGTCTTATCAAACCATGTTAACTGGTGATAGTTACGTTGTAGATGTTGTCGTATCGTACCGCCATTAGCATATTGTGTTACCAGATAATATGTATCGCTGGAGGAAACGTGACTCATTCCAAAGAATCTTATTATATTCGCGTGAAAATTTACTTTTGGTAATAATGTCAACTGGGGAGAGAAGGTTAGAAATTCGATAAAAGATTAAAAAATGAAATTTATTAAAAAAAAAAAAAAAAAAAAAAAAAAAAAAAATAGAAAAATTTTGTTTTATTGAATAAATACCTCATTAACAAACCTTTCTACGGCGTCATGATCGATATTGTCATAATTTAATTTCCAGGTTTTCAAAGCGACGTGCAACTTATTATTCTTCTGATTGTTACCCCAATTGGCCCAACATAAATTTTTATTCGATGATGCGTTTTTACCTTGTATTGGTATGGGTGTTATATCTTCAAATGAATCATACTCGATAAACTTTATAAATCCGTTTTTAAGGGTGGCCTCAAGCCAAACCTTCGATGCCATATCATATAACAAAATTTTAAAAGCGAAGAAAAAATAAATAAACAAGTTTGTCATAAACGTTTCTCATTTATTTACTTTATGTACCAGACACGTGTATCGATTTAAAAATGGAAGTCATTGTTGCAAGGGGGGGTGTATCACAAGAGAAAAAAATAACTCTTACCTTTTATTGACTTTATTTCAAAAGAATCCGTTATATATGAGGAAAGATCTGCTTTTAATTTCTCAATGCTAGATCTCCCATTCATTGAATTCCACGAACATTTCGTTCAGAGTAATCTGTCAGAATGGTATTGTGGCACCTTCGCTAAATAAATAGATTTGGCGCAGTACTATTTTGAGATTAAAATAAATTTATAAATAGATTATTTTCTCCAGCAGCTAAGCCCAATTACATCATTATTTCGGAATTTGTATAATAATAAATAAACTAATTGTGTTTCCTCCTATTAAAATAAGAAAGAATGCACTCACTATACTCACTATGAAAATTTTTTAATTTTTGGTCTTTTTTTATCATCGTTATCACGATATCTGATATTGAATAATTTGATCTATGAAAATCCGCGAAAAAAAAAAAAATAACCAAGAGAATCAGTAATGGCCCACAAAAAAAAAAAACCAAATGTCTACAAGCCCAATTGCCTTTTGGAAAATAATACCAAGCGTTCTAGACATTATGCTGCAGTAAGTTAAAAAAGGCTCATTGAATCCGTATTTTCCAATGCGCATACTGTTGTTAACTGCGTTAGCTGCGCCATTATTCGCAGGAAATTTCAATCGAAATTCAGTTAGGAAAAATAGGGATTTTTTTTTCTTGCATTAATTTATTAATAATGTAAGGATTAAAAAAAGGAAAAAAAAAAAATAAAAAAAAAATAAGATCTAAAAGTTTAAAATAAAAAAATAATAAAAATTATATATGTTCATTCGTTTAGATTGATTATTCTACATTATAAATTAAATAACATCTTTATGATTTTTAGAATTCTCTATATGATCTGTATTATTATTTGTTACTTTGCGTATTTTGATCATCAATTATGATTTCAATACCGCCCAGTTGTTTATTGTCCTGAGTTGGTTCACTTGATGTCCTATGTATTATAGGACGAGAGTTGCGACGTGTAAATTCATTGGTATTAATTGAATTTGAATCATAGTCTCTTTCTGAATCAATTATATGGAATGTATGTCGTAAATCTGTAGGAGAACTTATCATTTCACTCGTAATAGGTCCTGAGGGTTGTCTTTTCCGTGTTATTAAACTTGTAGTCGATTTTCCAATTTTATTACTTAATGTTCTAAATATTCTCTTCGAAGGGTTGATTACGCTTCTGTGAGCTTTATCATAATCTTTCAAATCAGTCGTAGTTTTGCGCATTTTTAGATGTGAGGATGTTCGGAGTGTATTCTTCCAATTCCATATACTTCGTTTACCTTGATCGAAACCATTTCGATCAGCATCCGGTTTATCATTAAAATCCTCCGATGGTAATTCAAAATTATTGAATGTTCTAAGATTTTTAGCTATATGTTTCCATCTTTCTAGCTTATTCTCTAATTCTGTAATTTTTTCTAATGCCTCAATGTGTCTTATTTGAAGGTTCTTATACTTTCGGTAATACCTTGGTGGATTAATCTCTGATAATCTTTCTTGAATTTCCGCCAATCCTTCAAGCATGGCTTTATTTTGATTTTGAAGAACTTTGATCTTTTTAGTCTTATTTTCCCCAATCTCTATAAACGATTTAGTTTGTTCTCGTGTTTTATGTACCCTCATTTGAAATTGAAGTCGACGATGAAAGGACCATTCTGCGTTAAAGTTTGATCCGATAATAGAAGTTGGGAGTGCAATTACTAAAATACCACACGTCATGGTTACTGCTGCAACGAATTTTCCTAGACCAGTGACCGGAACAGCGTCGCCATAGCCCGTGGTAGTAAGTGTAACTATCGACCACCAAAGAGAGTGAATAATCGATTGAAAGGGACTAATTTCATAATTCCCATCTTTTCCGATACGGTACCAAGTCAAGTTACGTTGATCAAATTCGCCGCGTTCAATATAAAATATTAAAGCCGAAGATGTCAGCAATATCACCAATAAATATACAGACACCACAACAATTTGATAAGCAGAACGCTGAAATACTTTTGCGGTGATCTACAGTTTTGAATAAAATTTTAGAAAGGCTAACAATGGTAAGAGTAAAAAAAATATATATATATTTCTTTTTTAAAAATCATACGTAAAAGCCAGTCGAATATTTTGCAACACGAAATAATCCTAAAAGTCTGAATAAACGCAACACTCTGATAACTTGCAACATGGACTAAAATGTAAAAGAAAAGAAAAGTCAATAATAATTGATCGTAAAATTTCACGTCACATCTACAAACCTGTTGTATGCCATTTAAGAAAATCAAATGAATGAAAAATGGTATGATTGAAATTAAATCAATCAAGTTCATTGGTTCTAATTTAATTTCGAATTAGTAAACGCGCTGTAACAATCGTGAACGAGACAGTTCAACAGATTAACTTCACCATACGTACGATAAAAAAACTTCCATTTATTTATAGAAGCATAAAATCTTCCAAGATATTCAATAGTAAAAGTGATAAGGGATATAAGGTCAATCGGAATCCTACAGAATTAAAGAAAATAAATGAAATGTTTTATGAAAAATTTACAAATTTTATATACGATATTTATTTGATATATACCAGATTTCTCTGTAAATCTTCGGTCTTGGTACGGAAATAGTCGGCCAAGAATTGATACAAATCATCAGAACAACGACAATCGTACATGTGGATGAAAATATCACAAACGCCCTTCCCCATTTAGTAATTGGTTCTTCAAAGAAATAATAACATTTAAGTTGAAAAGGTGTTCTTAATGAATCCTCTTTACGATGCAAAACCTTATATGGATCAAGATTCTATTAAGAAATTTAAGAAAAACGTTAAAATTCCGATAGATCATTATGAAAAATATGCAAAAGTATTGTATATTTATACATCTTGAAGATCATCGTTCTCCTCATCTTCGCTTGAGTTATCGTCATGTGTATGTGAATGTTCATAATCGTCATCGTTGCTGTTCAGAACTCCTCCGAACCGATCATTAGAGACACTACTTTTAATATAAATATAATATTAAAGATTAAGGTTAGGCGGAGAATAATGTTTCAAAGATAAAATATTCCATATAAATTCGAAAATAATTGCCGTATACAATTAGGAATATAATCTTCGTCAGATTTCAAAAGATCCTCTAGTTAAATAAAAGATACTGTGCCTTGCATTTCGAGGTAGGTGTTCAACCGATATTATTGAAGAAACTCGTGAAATACTCGAAAAACTTGTCTTTCGCAAATTTTTATTATAAGATTTTCGTGACAAATCACATTTATTACTATCCGTCATAGTACTATTTCGTGAGTTGGCGCGATCTTTTGAACGTTTGTAAGAAGTTTGGGCATCTTTTTCATTATATTCTGACATTTGTCATTATAAATTAAAAAAGAAAAACAAGTTAATTGGCGAAAACGGCGAAAAAGAAAAAAAGGGGCAATCATTCCATAAAATATATAAAAAAATAATAAATAAATTTAGACATATTCGGAAAGGTTTACTCCCATAAAAGGGATGAATTTAAATTATAGCGTTAAATGTCGATCAACGAAATTTTGAGAACATAAAATGAATTTTGGAACAGAATTAAAGGTATTTATTCGAATGATATTTGGGGTTTATACTTTTCAACAACTCATTTTGGAAACGTAGTCGCAGCTTTTTTGTACTAAATAATAATAAGTGCGTTTATATATATTGTATTTGTAATTAGGATCAAGTTTCCTCAGTTAACCAATTTGTTCAGAGCGGGATACAATTTTTAAATGAGTTTAAGGATTTTATTAAAGAGCGTGCTCAAATCGAAAAGGAATATGCACAGAAAATTGAAATGCTTGTTAAAAAGCATTCGAATAAAAAGGATAAAAAGGCATTAGCCATGACTGTCGGTGATGTTTCAACTTCTCCAAAAGAAAACGATAATGAAGCTGATGTTGAAGCTAGGTAAGTATCGAGTTTACGTTGATATATATAGAATTTAGTTAATACATATATAGGCCATTGATCCTTTTCACAACCAAAGTACTTTCTTAAAGGCATGGTCAGTTATTTTAGACGAAACAGAAAATATTGCAAAAGAGCGAGCAAAATTTTCGGAGACATTATCAACGCGCGTGATGGAGAAAGTGAGGACAGTATCTGCAAAAAAGGAAGAAATTAGAAAAAAGGTATGTTATTAAAAACATATTATTACGTGAAATAATTATTAATTAAATCTTTTGATTCCTTCTTAGCACATGGAATTCGCACAAAAATTGATTAATGAAAGGGATAAAGCGTATACAGAAAGGAAAAAAGTAAATCTTTATGAAATTTATATATATCAATATCATTAAAAAAGTGTTCTGTTTTTTTAATTAGATATAATTTAATTTATTAGGCTAAGACTCGTTATGATGAATGTTGTGTAGAAGTTCAAAATTCTCAACAAAAACTTGAGCGAGCATCGGACGATAAAATATATGAAAAAGTAATTAATTTTTAATTTTTAATTTTAAAATTTATGGGATGATATTGTTAGGAAAATAGGATTCTGAGAATTTTGTTAACTAAATTTCTATTTGCATTTTAATCCAATTATCAAAAAGCTAAAATGCAATAAAAAGTCTTAATTTTGTTAAAAATTTTCCAAGAACCTGATTTGCCTAGCAATCTTCCCATATATAAATATAAATACCATATACTTTCCGATCTGTTTATATTTAATATTTATTTTTTCCCCCCTCAAAAGTTACAACATCAGTTAGCACAAGATAAAGTTGAAATGAATAATAACAAAGTAATGTTGAATTTTGTTTCCTTGTAATTTAATTATGAAATTAAATCTTTTTATTTTATTTATTTTTTTTTTAGAATCTTTATATTTTGACTATACGCGTATCTAATGAACTCAAAAAGAAATACTACCATTCGGACGTACCCGCTCTTATCAACGTAATTAAAGGTTTTTAATCAGATTTAGTTGTTCTTATTCCTTAGGTATATTAATTTTTGGTTTCTATAACAGCAATTACAAGAACTTAATGAAAGTAGGATAATAGCAGTGAGAAACATTTGGGATGATTATATGGAGTTTGAGATAGCTTTGTTGAGGGAATCCAAAAATCATGCTGATGTGGCACGTCAAGCAATTAATAATATTGATAGTCACGCGGATTCACAATTATTTATAAGATATAACAAGCGAAGTTGGGAAGAACCTACAGATTTTGTTTTTGAACCTTCCTCCATATCCGAGGATACTGTTAGTGATTGATTTCCTTTCATTTATAGAAATTCTCATACTTTATTTTAATTATAATATTTGATGTTCGCCAGGAAGAATTGATCAATGATGAAAATTCTCAAGTTTACCTTAGCAACAAACTTTCTAAAGCCAAGCGGAATTTAGAGAAATTAACTTCAGAGATCGAGTCCAAGAAAAAAGAAATTGATGGTATGCAATCTTTGAAAGAAGCATATGAAAATAACTCAAAACTTGGTGATGCAGATGCTGTTACTGATGTATTTATTATATTATTTAATCATTGTTTAATTTATTTTTATTTTTATTTTTTACTATGATTTTATTTATTAAACTTGAAAAATTTTTTACGTATTACTTTCTAAGAATCTGCATCGAACCATTAGAGAGTATACTATCTTAGAGACAAACAGAGTCAAATATAAAACTCAAGTTGAATCTATAATAGAAGCCATCGGGGGCAAGTTAAAAATATAAATTGTTACATTTTATAAGTTTTTCATGAAAACTTTCTCATCTATGCGATATTTTTAGATGTTGGATCTGATCACGATATCCATGATTTCAAAAATGCATCATTTACGATTCCCACAACTTGTGATTATTGTCAAACTACCATCTGGGGCATCGCGAAAGGTTTTACTTGTAAAGGTAAATTACATTATAATGTTTTGTAATCCAGTATTCATCTTTGTTCCTTATGTTGTTAATCAGCCTCCTGTTTTAGACTGTGGTTACAATTGCCATGCTAGATGTGAAATGAAAGTTCCTCCTACCTGTACTAAACAAAAGGGTAATATTGTTAGAGGAATTGCACAAACATTCTCAACTCCAGGTTCACCTTGGGGAACTGTCTCCAGTAAGTTATTTGTAATTTTTTTTGTTATCATTTTATTAACATTCAATCTAACATTCGTCCAATATAATATAGCAATGTCCAATAATACACTAGTACCATTAATTCAGTCTATAAATATAGGGGATACATGGAAAGCGGAAGCTTTATACGACTATATCGCTGATACCGAAGAAGAGCTTAGTGTGTCAGCTGGTGATATCATCACTGTTTTTGAGTTGGACGGTAAGTTTTTATTCTATATCGTGTGTGGGAAAGTAAAAACTATATTAACTAATAAATTAAAAATAAACAAAAAATTATTATAGATGGGTCCGGATGGGTCAAGGTATGATTTAATTAATGTAATTATTATTTGTCATGAAGATAAATATTTATCTAAAATTGCTTTATAGGCTTTTTATAATGGAAAGGAAGGGTTAGTCCCAGCATCATATATTGAATATCATGATTTTGGTAATTAAATTAATAATCTATCTTTACGTTATAATTTATATTTTGATGACTGACACATTTCTTTATAAATTAGTTCAAGTACTCTATGATTATGAGTCACAGTCACCTGAAGAATTGACAATAAAAGAGGGAGATGTTATTCAGGTTACTAACAGAGACGTTGCTGAAGGATGGTGGGAAGGTATATATATATTAATCGATTTTAGAAGGAATACATTTAAAAAAGATTTTGTTAAACTTTTATTATTTTGACCTTTTTTTCAGGCATACTCAATGGTGTAACAGGTCAATTCCCTGCAAACTATGTGGCTCCATTAGAATGATCAATATCAAATTTTTTAAAAATATAAACTTTATACAATCATGTGAATTACAAAAAAGACCACACATATATATATATGTTAACGCATTTTTAATTGGCATTTTATATTTTTTCTGATATATTTTGTATATAAAATATTTACTTTAATTAAATTATTTAAAGTTTACAATTTAGATTGGTTCTAAAATAATAAATAAATTAACACTTTGAAAGAGCGTTTAAACCAAAAGGAAAAGGTTTTTTTCTATTAATTATTGATTCGGTTCATTTAAGCCCATTCTTTATTGTCTTTTAGTAATTATACAGATCTGAATTTACTAATTAATTTAATTTTTTTTTTTTTTTTTACCAAAAATAAATAACTTAAATGAACATAAAAATACAATTATGTATACATCACTAAAAGTCCAAAAATGATCATGGCATTTAATTTATCTTTCTCCAATATACCCATCCTAATATAAAAAAAAAAAATGATATTAATAATCAAAAAAAAGAATTTTTTTAAATGATAAATATAAAAAAAAAAAAAAAAAAAAAATGTTGACATACTTTTTCAAGTAACAATACAATTTGATGACAAATTTCACTAATACTTTGTTTACTGACATCAACGGTGATACTTGCATCAGCTGGTGCTTCATAAGGATCATCAACTCCAGTGAAATTTTTTATCTCACCGGATTGTGCTTTCTAATAATATTTATAATTATTACATTTAATGAATGATTTCTTTCATAAGGAATCGAAGATAATAAAAGAAATCATCTCTTTACCTTGTAAATACCTTTTCTATCGGTCTTGATACAATGTTCAAGAGGAGTATTAACGTGAATTAAATAGAAACCTCCATAGGTTTCAATATGCGATTTAGCATTAGCACGTGCTTCAGCGAATGGAGCAATCGGGGCTGCGATAACAGCGGCACCAGCTTTTGTAAGTTCCGCTGATACAAAAGCTATACGAGCTATGTTTTGATCCCGATCTTTTTTGGAGAATCCCAATTCTTTTTTTTTTTTTAAAAAAAAAATATATATATATATATTTTTTAACTAAAAAAAGTAAAACATTTCCTTTTAAAAATAATTAAAACATACCAGAAGAAATTCCGTGTCTAATAGTTTCACCCAACAATAAAGAAACGGATCTACCGCCTTGTTGATTTAAAACGACTTGCAAAGCTTTGCCAATAGAATTTTTACCAGAATTATAATAACCGGTTAAAAATAATGTAAATCCTTGTTTAGATCTTGGAGGGTGAGTTTCTCTTAAAACCTTTACAACTTCAGGGTAGGAAAACCATTCAGGAATATGTCCACCCGTTCTTAATCTTCTTCTTAGTTCTGTGCCAGAAATATTTAATGTCGTTGTACCTTCTGGCACTTCATCCACTGGCATATACTCATCTGAGTCAGGAATATATGTTACCATTTGGAATGGTACCACCTCAATTTTTAATTCATCTTTATATTCCGCGACAAGTTTCTATAATTCCATCATATTGTTCAGATCAAAAAAATTATTTTTTTTTTTAAAAAAAAAAAACGAAACAATTGCCAAACAATTTTACCTGCGCGTCATAAGGACCATAAAAATCGGCACCTTTAGAATTCTTTCCGGGTCCGGCATGATCTCTTCCAATAATAAAATGCGTGTTACCAAAGTTTTTTCTGATGATGGCGTGCCAAACGGCTTCTCTTGGACCTCCCATCCTCATGGCCAACGGTAATAAACTTAATGCAGCCATTCCATTAGGGTATTTAGGCATAAGAGCTTGATAAACTCTTACTCTTGTATAATGATCGATATCACCTGGTTTGGTTAAACCAACTACAGGATGAATCAAAACGTTTGCTTGCCTATTACGTGCTGCTCGAACTGTTAACTCCCTATGAGCTCTGTGCATAGGATTACGTGTTTGAAAAGCAACAACTCGAGTCCAATGAAGTTTTTTGAAATGAGCACGAAGTTCTGCCGGAGTGTCTAAAGAAGAAAAAAAACGAAACTTTTTTAGAAATGGTTCACCAAAATCAAAAACATCAACGTGATGACTTACATCGATGAGCAACATAATCGTAATGATTTGGAGCTTGAATGGCTTCGATAGTAGCGCCCATATAGAATTCCTTCGTTTGTTCATGCAAATATCTTACTCCAGGATGTGCGATATCATTATCACCAAAAACTTTGATAGCTTCTTCAATTTTATCAGGTGTATATATGTCTTGTATAGTTATGATGGCTAGTGGTGAATCATCACGAGAATCACGTAAAACTACTCTCTTATTCGGTTTCAAACCTAATTTATCAATATCCTCTTGCGATACATCAAGAGTAACTGGCATAGAAAACAATAATCCATTACTTAATCGGAGGTCTTTAACGACACTACAGTTATGAGTTATGAGATCAACAATGTGATACAGCAGATCAAGATATGTTTATTAATCAAAATTTTTTTTAAAAAATTTTACAAACCGTTGATAATCCTTCTGATTCATAAATCCTTCCAATGGCGAAAAACCTCCATTCATTATTAATTCCAAATCGCATAATTGACGATCAGATAAAACGATGGAAGGTAAATTTTCAACTTCAGCTAATAATTGATCTTGTTTTGAAGCATCTCGAGCGTGTAAATCTTTAAGGATGCCACCATGAGGAACGTTGGCCATTTTTTTTTATTATATTATTATTAAATTTGAGGAATTGAAGATTAAGGATTTATCGAATTACTCTTATAAAAAGAAAAAAGATATTTTTTTTTTTAATCAATCATAATTCTTCTTCCTATTTATAAAAAAAATTTCGGAAAATAAATTTTTTTTTGCTCGATCACGCAATCGTAGATTCACGTGGCCTAATATGAGTTATAAACCGTATAGATAATCAGAATTCATTTCTACATCGTACAACGGATTAGTAATCCTTGCTTTTTAACCCAAAACGTGACCACTGTCAATGACGACATTTTCCTTAACAGTGGCGAAATTTTTTTTTGACATATCGTGAAATTTTTTTTTTTTTTCGCTCCGGGTTATGTCGAAACAAATAGAAAAAAGACGCTAGTACTATTTCGGTAAAGACAAAAAAATTTTTTTCGTCGTAGTTGAAAAATGACGCTAATACTAATATGGTAAAGTAAATTCTTGCAAAAAATTTTTGCTTTACATATAAGGCTTTTTAATGCACGTGATAAACCCAAAATTGTCACGTCGAAAAAAGTTTAAAAAAAAGCAAAAATTCCACACCTCTCTTTTATTACACCCCAACCCGCTAATAATTCTTAATTAAAGGGTTTCCCCCTTCCAAATATTGCTTTCCGACACCTTTGCAGGCGTCGTAAAGACGTATATTGGTATAGTTTGCAATTAGCAATAATCTGGCCTCGGATAACTCCTCACTGGCGCAGATAATGCCCGTGCACAAAGATAGGGATCCATATTTATGGATTTTGGACTTATTTATATTTTAATTTGAATTTTGATAAATTATGGGATTCATCTGAGTGATCATCATATGACTATCACATGACTGCTATTTAGGAGTTGCGTTAGATTTTTTATTCAGGAAAAATAATCTCATACTACATTTTCCCGCGTGAAACGTGAGAACTATAGAAAATTTATTATTTACAAAATATGGTATATGGATTAAAAAAAAATTAGATTATTCTTATAGAGTTTATAAAAGTACATAAAGTTACAAAAATATTAACTATTACTATTATGCTATTTACGTCCTTAGTCTCTTCTTTGACAATGAAACAAATTCATCTTCACTGGAAGAATCGTTGTAATCACTGCTATTGTCACTACTCCAGTCAATACTCGTATCGCTATAATATTTTATCTTCTTGCTCCTATGCTTCTTCTTGTTGATAGTTGTAGGAAGAAAACTTTTAACTGTTTCAACCAATATCACATCATCATCATCATCATCATCATCATCATCATCATCATTGTCATCGCTAATCTCAATTATCTCTTTGGGTGAGTCGGTTGTTAAATCGATTAATTCTAGGACTTTATCCTTTTCAACTTCATCTTGATCTTCGCTTTTTACACCTTTACCCAGTGTAACATTATTAATGTTTGTTCCCTTTCCATCTTGCTCAACTTTAACCATTTCACTCTTCTCTTCCTTAACATGAGTTGAGACCTCTTGAACTTTTTCATTAAATCTCTGGTTAAATCTCTCATTAAACCTGTTATCAATAACCACTCGAGGTTCATTTACAATATTACTTTCTGGTATGATTATTTTATCGAGTATCCTACTTTCAGTTATATATTCAATACTTTTCGAATTCAGAAATTTGTTCTTTTCTTTAAGACTTTTACTTTCAAATTCTTCATCTTCAGTCCCATGATCATCTTCAAAATCGTGATCGCTATCAATTTCCTTATCATCATTATCAATGTCATTCGCTACCAAAACTTTAAGTTTTTTCTCTTCATCGTTTTCGGATTCTTCCAAGTTTAGTTTACTCTCATTATCTTTCCTCGGACCTTTAAACAGCGTAGGATTAGAAATACTAGAAAATACCGGAGATTTAATTAAAAATCCTTTATCTCGCAACCATTCTTTCGTTTGATAACGAATATATAATTCGGCAACGGGTTTATCATAGATAGCTTTTAAGTTTGGCATAGGTTCCTTCTGGGGTTCATCCAAATAAATTACATCCAGGGGATCAAAGTTATCCGGTAACTCCGAAATCATTTCTTGATTATTCCGACATTGTGACATGAATCTCAACCCTGCTAATCTTTCAGCAGTAAATACGTTTACAGAAACCACTCCAAAGCCTTGTTTATTACTAGACACTTTTGTACACCTTGTTGGAATATTTGAGACAAAAATATCATCCTCAGACCAATAACTCGTATCAAATTTGAACTTGTGAAAAATTGTCCTGTCAAAGTTATAAAAACCGTATATATATGTATAAGGGTCTTTATCTAAGGGATCAAGTTCCATATATGTATCATCGTTTTTACCGTCGACATAATGTATTCCTTTATAAACCATTGGACCTAAAGGAGAGTGAACTCCTACTCTTATGCAAAAGTGACAAGGAGAACGTGGAACCGCTACATATGTTGCATTCTGGTTTTCTCTAGATCTGGTTTGCTTAGAATTCTCACTCGACGTCGATGGTACCTCATATTCTGGTAGGATTTTATTGTCAACAAGAATTTCCAAGGAAAAAACTCCCTTGCGCATTCTCCTTATTTTAAGAAAAAAAAAATAAATTTTTTTTTCTTTTTTTTTTTTTTTAGAGATTGAGTCAATATCGATTGTTGTGATCACAGATCACAAGTTCATTTTTTTAATATTTTGAATCTTTCGGATTTTCCGCAAAATCCGAATACATTACTTTTATAAAACGCGTTTTTTACATGGAAATGATCGTATTGTCAGCCAATCATTATCAACTCAAAAATCCTCGTGAAATGAATTATTTTAACCATTTTTAATTACCTTTTTTTCAATTTAAAATCATTATATCATCATTTAAAATCATTTAAAATAATTTAAAATAAAGATTGTGTTTGTCTTTTCTTTATTATGTATTATGTTAAAATAAAGCTTTTTAATTAATAAATAAAAGGTCAATAATAAAATTTCGCTATTACCGAAAATGACTTTCGATCGATTTTCGCTACTATCATTTTTCCAACATTAGTAAAGATTGTGTGTTAGTGTGTGTGTCATGAACCAATATGTATAGTTAATTTCTTTTTTTATTATATATATAACGAGAAAATAAATTCTCTTTATTTTTTTTTTTTTTTTTGATAAACCGTCAAGAATATGAATGTGACAATAGACATGACGTCACAGACAGCGACACCTCTTCAGCATACGAGTATTCTTCCCTTTATGTCAGACAAACAACTTGCGTTATTTGTTCCGCTCGTGGTTTATTGGGTATATTCGGGGTTTTACCACCTAATTTCAACTTTGGAGATTCCACTTTTTGAAAAATATCGACTTCACAGTGTTATTGAAACAGAAACAAGAAACAAAGTTTCACAGAGTGAAGTTATTCGAGCAGTTTTATTACAACAGTTTTTACAGACTTTACTAGGGTTCTTGTTAGTCGTTGTTGAAGACGAAGACGTAATGTTGGACGACGCGGTTGAAATGCTAGTCTACCAACAAATATTAAAATCAATATTAACAACCTTTGATAAATGGAATGTGCTTGAACCTTTCCATAATTCTGTAGTAAAGACGGTATACTGGTATTTAATTCCATTCTCACGATTTCTTTTTGCCATGTAAGTTATTTGTCATCATTGCCTTACCAAGTTAGTAGATTTATAAAACGCATATGACCTTCAAAGCTTATCCATCATTCTATCCATTAGGATTTTTCTGGACACGTGGCAATATTTTATGCACAGGTTCTTTCATCAAAATAAATTTCTCTATAAACATATTCATTCATTACATCATAGATTACATGCTCCATATGCTTTTGGTGCACTTTATAATCATCCCGTAGAAGGGTTTTTGATGGATTCCGTAGGTGCTGGATTAGCGTTTAAATTATCAGGAATGACAACTCTTGGTGGAATGACATTTTTTGGATTTGCGACATTTAAGACCGGCAAGTTTGGATAAAAATAAATTGTGTTGATTTCTTTATCAAATGTTATGTGAACTTATTCCTTTCTGTTACACAGTCGATGATCATTGCGGTTACAACTTGCCATTTAATCCGATTCAAAAAATCTTTGGCAATAATTCAGCCTAGTAAGCTTCATCTCCCTTTCATTGTCATTGAAAATCTTTCGTTGTTCTCTTATACATTTCAATCTATTTTTTAGCCATGATATTCATCATCAGGCGTACGGTATAAAAATGAATTTTTCCCAACCATTCTTCACCATATGGGATCGAATTCTCGGAACTTATTTATCAAAACCTCCAAAAGTTTTATTATCAACCGAGAATCAATCTCTTTCTCAGACGACCACCATTCATAGCCTTACATTAAAGGACAATGGAATGATTGATGAACCCAAGGTTTATGAAATGCAACGATTCGTTTCTGTGAGAGATTCGCCTGTCAGATATGACCTGAGACCACGAAAAACCCTCTCGTCGATTTAATCTAGATATTTGCCATTTATGGCACGTGCTTGCACATAGAAAGCGTTGTATTATTTATTTAATTGTAATAAACTATGTAATAAACTAATATGCTTAACGGCTGTCGCACAGGACCAGTCTATTTTTATTTTATACATCATAGGCAAGAAACTTTATTTTTTAACTATATATGTGACCAGTCAGACTACAGACCCTTGACAAGTAAATCAAATAATGCATAGATAATTAATGCGAAATAAAAAAATCTCAAGACTCGCGCAAATAGATTTTATACACAGTTTGTATTACATCGAGTTATTAATTAAGTTTTCATTGTTTTACATTATCGAAGATTTCTTATTTATTTCCTTTGTTTAAGATAAATAAAAAGCAAAAAATTTTTTTTGAACCAGTTGACGGCTTCTACCCTGCTTGAAACTTTAGAAAGGACTCATTCTCAAAATTTGCGTGCGAGAGGAGACTTCGAGAAGAATCTCAAATGGATGCGTATTTATTAGTCCGGAGCGAAGCGGAGGACTATATATGTTTATGAACCTTAATGACATATAAGATCACGTGACGAAGTCTGTTTGTCCGCACGCGTCATGTTAATTGATTTGTGTTTAAAAAAAAAATAAATACGATAAACAAAAGATATACTCATCTGCATGTGTTACAGTATTACATCTCTAATGCAGTAATGCTAAATGCGGAAAAAGAAATTTTTTTTTTAAAAAAAAAAAAATAAGAAAGAATTAGAGAATTAGAAACATTAGTTATTTTATATCTTTTTATTAATGATTTTTAATTTGTAATTTTATAAAAATAATTAGTAAAATTTAATATGATGGTATAAAAGTTTTCGCTCCGGACTCATAACGGTTTCCGTTTCCTAGTTTATAGAATCAATACTATAAAATATATCAAAAATGAATTGGTAAAAGATCACGTTCTTGTAAAACGCGTATTTATTTAATAAAAACCAACCAATCGGCCAGCAAATTCGGTACCCCCAGAGATTATCAAACAAAATTTTCGGATATTTTTATAAATGTTCTTGACATACGGTTTGCATTTCTAGGTTTTGCAATTGAATATGTTTCGTTCGAGAACTATTATTTGTTCCTCACCTTTTCCTTCTACAAAATTATCTTTAAGAAAGCAACCATTTACAATTTCAAATAGAAAACATTCACACAATCATCCTTCTGAAATAGCAAAATTATCGCTCACACGATATGATCCACCAACAATCCATGAAAAATCACACGAAAGTCCATCTTTAATAATTCTCCATGGTCTATTCGGATCAAAGCAAAATTGGAAATCGTTGGCTAAAATTTTCGCTCAACGGTTAAATACGCATGTTTTCACTTTGGTATTTGCAACTTTATTCCACATTATATCAAATTATTAACCTTTTAGTTAATTGTTTATGAATTATAATTAATCAGGATTTAAGAAACCATGGAGATAGTCCACATTTATCTGTTCATAATTATGAAGTGATGGCAGACGATGTTGCAGCATTTATCAAAGAACACAAACTTAATAAGACCGTTGTAATGGGACATTCTATGTATGAATTCTTCAACTTTCGTCCTTAATAATATTTTATTTTATATATTGATATATTATTTATACAGGGGAGGAAGAGTGGCCATGGCTATGGCGCTTAGACAGGTTCCACATATCGAAAAACTCGTAGTTGTTGATAGTTCGCCTATCAATACTAGGATGCCTTCAATCTTTTCCACTTACGTTGATGTAATGAAAAAAGTCGAACAAGCCGGGGTCGTAAAATTAGAAAAGGCTGATAAAATAATGGAAGATTACATTGACGTAGGTTCTTGTTTAATCTATTGATCTATCGTTTACCCCTTCAAATAACATGCGAATCATTTTTTTTTTTTTAACCAAATGAAAAAAAAAAAAAAATTAGGACGTTACCATCAGACAATTCTTACTAACAAATCTTAAAAAAGATCCCGATACGGGATTATTTAAGTTTCGGATTCCTTTAAATATCTTAGGCGATTCATTAGAAAAATTGGGTGGATTTCCATTCGATTCGGCTCATCACACATTTCACAAAAAAACTTTATTTGTAGCGGGAACAAAATCAAATTATTTACTCCCAAAGGTAAAGATGTAATATATATATATATATATATACATTTATTTAATTTAGAATGTAAATTTTTTCTTTAGGATTATCCAACAATACGAACATTTTTCCCCAATGCAGTTATTGCAGAATTAGATGCTGGGCATTGGGGTAATATTCTCGTTTTTTTTTTGTCTAGAAATTCACAGGTAGAGATTAATTCTTTTTTAAAAAAAAAATTAGTTCATGCAGAAAAACCGTTGGAGTTTGCAACTATAGTGTCGGACTTTTTACTTTAATGGTCACCAACTTTTACTCATTTTGGTTTAAGTTACATACGTTACGTCATGATTGTTGATAGTACTACCTTCCGCTGTTTCTCTCCGTTTTTGTATTTTTCACTTCTTTCTGTTACTTTGATTAAATAAATTATCGTTCCAGTTTTGGTGTTACTTTAGCGGTCTAAATATTTTGTTTGGAAGACTGTGACAAAAAAAAATAAATATGAAAAAACGCGGGCCTTATCTTTCCTTAAGCCTGTCACTTTTAGGAGGAATATTATTCATATGTAATTTCTATGTCTTGCCCGTGATATCTCGAATTGCTACGTTTGGTAATAAACAAGTGGTCTTTACGGGTCCTTTATTACCACCGCAGAGTCAAGATTCTTTTATTACAGATAAAAAAAGTTTACAAGACCTGGATAATGAAGTTTTTAATGAAATTTTACCATCAGTTTCTCTTTATACAAATCGTGGGGATGTTTTACGGGTTGGACAATTTTTTTGATTCATCTTTTTGAATAACTTTTGAAAAAAAAAAAAATAAATTAAATTCTATCGTTTATAGACGGAAGGTATAAAATGTAATATATGCCATTCAATAGCCTCGAAGATTGAACAATTTATGTTGCTAAATAAAACTCAAGATATAACAGTCAAAGAAGGAATTCTTATTTGTAAATTGTTCAATCTACAACCTCATCGTGTGGTAAACACCTTTTGTTTTTCAAATTTTTTTTTTTTTTTTTTTTTTTTCAAAATTTTCTTGAACATGTGTGTTTTTATTTCCTAACATAGTGTGAAGAATTATTACCAAAATTTGGGCCATGGGCCATGATAGTTTTGGCAAAATCTGTATTTTCAGCAGAAAATCTATGTAGTAAAGCTCGTTTATGTCCTAAACCGGATTTTGACAAACCCGAAGTCATCGATCTTCCACCTCCAAGGCAACCTGTCGATTCCAGTACCACAACCACCACAAATGAATCATCCGCTGATGATGAAAAAATGTGGGTCGTTCATTTGAGTGATTGGCATTTTGATCCAGAGTATTCCGAAGGTTATGAAGCTCAATGTGGTGAACCGGTTTGTTGTCGACCACCTAATGCTTTTGGTGATCAGGCAACGACTCCAGCTGGAAAATGGGGAGATTATAATTGTGGTAGGTGTGATTTTATTTATTATTAAAACATTGAAATGGTACTTTAATGTGTGGGCATTGTGATCTGATTAGTTTCGCGTATTGTACGTTACATAGATATCCCCAAGAGATTAATCGAAAGTATGTTGGAGTTTGTGCCAACTGTTGTACCGAAAATTGATTATATATTATCTACTGGGTAAGGCACTCTTTATGTTAATTATTATTGTTATCAAGTTCAACTCGAACAAATCTTTACCTAACAAATTTAATCTCCTTTAATGAATGTATATATAGTGACTTGCCTCCACACGGTATGTTGGAAAATTTTCCCTTAATGATTTTCATGATTAATAATAGCAAAACTTATCTTATTATCGTGTTTTTGAAGATGTTTGGGCGGAGACACCTTCAACGATCGAGAAAACAACAAGTGAAACATCAGATATTTGGCGTAAATTCTTTAAATCAGCCCCATTCTTTCCAATTATTGGAAATCATGAATCGGCACCTGTGAATTCATTCCCAACATCATCAATCAGTAATATTTCCTCAGTTTCATGGTTATATAATTCATTATCAAAACAATGGAATGTTTGGTTGTCTGAGGATGCACTTGAATCTATTGAGAAAAGAGGATTTTATTCAGCTAGATTACCCAAAGATAATTTGCGTATTATAGGATTGAACACCAATTTCTGGTATAAATTTAATTGGTGGATGCTTATTAGACCACATGAAGAATGGGATCCCGAGCACATGTTGAAATGGGTTATTGACGAATTGGACAAAGCTGAAGAACTTGGAGAGAAAGTTTGGATTCTTGGGGTTTGTTGAAATACTATTTCAATTAGGGGTTTTTCTTTTCTTTTTCCTTCAAAAAAATTGAAAAAAAAAAATTTTTTTTTTCTATATATAATTATGAACTCGTGGTATTATTGATGTTTATAGCATATGGCAGCTGTTAGTGAAGATTCATTCCCATCATTTAATGAATATTTCTCTCAAATAATTGCGAGATATAAGGACACTATTGTTGGACAATTTTATGGTATGCTTGAAATGATTCCTTGATTTACTAGGTCAATGTATTGGGGGCTGACACGAAAAAATCATTATTTCATAGGTCACACTCATTGGGATGAATTTCAAGTTATTTATGATTATCCTAATGCCGAGAATCATGAACCACGACCAATTGGAGTTGGTTATATGGGACCTAGCCTGACAACGTTTAGAAATGTGAATCCTGCTTTCAGGTAATTTTTAAAAAAATTATGATTATCAAATAACTAATGTAAGGAATCTCATCTAATCGTATTTTATTATTTTATGATTTATTTTATTTTATAGAATTTATGAAATGAATAAGAAAACCAAGCAAATTATAAATCATTACACATATTATGTCGATATCGAAGAAGCAAATCGTAATAATCAACCCGAATGGAAATTATTATATGATGCCAAATCATTATATAATTTACAAGAT